GAGACCCCGCGGGGGGACCGGCCGGGCCCAAGGCGGGTTTTACTTCCTTATAGGGACCACCCGGCCTCACCTCACGCGCCTTCCGCCCGCGGGCGGGGCTCCTGAAAGCGGCGGCCGAGTCCCCGGACCTTCGGCGGCTCCCGGGCCCCGCGGGCGGGCTCGCCCTGCCCCCTGGCCCCTCCGCGCGGTCCCCGCTGCCCGCGCACGGGTTCCTGGCCTGGGGGCCGGTGCTCCGAGAGGGTGTGCGGGAGGATCCATGCGCTTCCGGCATTATAAGCAGCTTTGGAGAGACGGGGTGGTGTAGGTTCATTTTCTGAAAGAGTCCGTGGTTCTTACCCGATTCTCCAAGGTAGTGCTGCTCGTTAGGAATATGTGAGCCACAAATGTGATTCTAAACGTAAAAAGAGCCCAGCCCGGCGACTCGGCTGGTTGGAGCGCCATCCCGGTCAGGGCACAGAACTAGGTTGTGGGTTCGATCCCCTGGCGCGCGCGGGAGGCAGCCGATGGGTCTCTTATTCTCTCTCTCCCTCCCCCGCCCCTCCTTCCCTCTTTCTGAAATCAATAAAAACTTATCTTTGGGTGAGGATAAAAATAAAAGTTAAAGAAACAGGTGATATTAATTTAGGAATATGTTTTATTTAACTCAGTATAGCTGAAATATGGTCATTTCAGCATGTAATTGCTATATATACAGTCGTTCCCCACTTATCCCCGGTTTTGCTTTTTATGGTCTCAGTTATCCTGGGTCAACCACAGTTTGCAAATATTAAATGGAAAATTCCGGAAATGACTCACAAATTTTAAGTTGCACCCCATTTTGAGGAGCCTGATGAAACCTCGCAGGTGTCCCACTCTGTGGTTGCTCCCCACCCCTTAGTCACTTAACAGCTGACTAGGTTATCAGGTCACCTGCCAGGTACCACAGTGCTTGAGTTCAAGTAACCTTTATTTTGCCCCAAAGCCATTCACATTAACTTTTATTACAGTATCTTGTTGTAATTGTTTCATGGTTGTTGTTAATTTCTTACTGTGCCTAATTTACAAATCAAACTTTATCATAGGTATGTATAGAAAAAGTATGTATATAAGGGTTCAGTACTATCTGTGGTTTTAGGCATCCACCTAGGGTCTTGAAGCATATCCCTCATGAATGAGGACTGTAAAATACTTTGAGATATCTTGCATTCTTTTTTCCCATTAAGTATTTAAATTCTATGTATATTTTACCCTTATGCTACAGCTCAGTTCAGACTATCCACATTTCAGGTGCTCCAAGCCACATGTAGCTAGTGGCTACCATGTTGGACAGCACAAGCCTGGGGATCTCAGTCCAAACTCCTTGCCGTGGTATTGTGTTTTTCACAATCTGGCCCCTCCTTATCTTTCTTTTTTCTGCTACTTGGTCAAGGATAGTTATACCCTCACCACCAAACCACTTCCTTTGTTCAGGCTGTCCTTCTACCTGGAATGCTCTCTCTGGGCCTACTAGGGAAGTAGAGCTTCTACTGAGAGGCTTTTCCTGACTCCCACGGCCCCAAAGGGGTTTATCACACCTTCCTCAGTGTTGCTCATGGCTGGATTAGAGCACTTATCCTATGCTGTTGAATTGTTCTTGAGGCTATCTCCATAGCTACTAAACTGTCTTAGTCATCTTTGTGGTGATCATGGTGGGCACCTAATAGTTGATCAGTAGATGTTTGCAGACAGAATGAGTAAACTACCCGCCAGTTATACTCATTTTTTAAATTTTTGAATGGATCTGTTACTTTCTTGTTTGGGAGATTTGTGCCTGAATCACCCCCTTGTACATACGTGTACATACACACAGACATGTGATAAACAACCACAAGGAATGCATTTCAAGATGTGCACTGCCCTGGCCAGTGTGCTTAGTGGTTAGAGCGTCAGCCTACACACCATAGGGTCTCAGGTTTGATTCCTAGTCAAGGGCACGTACGTGGGTTGCAGGTGCATCCCCAGCACCTAATGTGTGAGGCAACCAATCGATACTTCTCTGTCTCTCTCTCCCTCTTGCCCTCTCTCCTTTCTTCCCTCCCTTCCACTCTCTCTAAAAAAATAAATGGGAAAAATATCCTCTGGTAAGGATTAACAACAACAACAAAAAAAGATGTGCACAGAAAAGTGTCTTCTGCTTTTAATCCCCTCCCCATCTTACAGAAGGGAAAACTGAAGTGCAGAACTGTTAGGATGGCCAGCAAATTTGCATCAATATAAAATCAAAGGCCCTAGCCTAGCCAATTTGGCTCTGTGGATAGAGCGTCAGCCTGAGGACTGAAGGATCCTGGGTTCGATTCTGGTCAAGGGCACATATCTCGGTTGCAAGCTCATTCCCAGCCCAGGCCCTAGTAAAATCAATGGGAAATTATACTCAGGTGAGGATTTAAAATACACACACTCTCTCTCTCTCTGTAGGATTCTCCTTGAAAGGAGTGGGGGAAGTCTCAGCGGGTTAGAGTCTTCAGATAGGAATAACTGGCCCCACTTTGGTCATTTGATAGGAGGGAAGTGAGGAGATGAGGAGGTAACACTGGGCTCTGATAAGGATTCAAGGCAGGTTCAGGTCTGAGAAGCTGAGGATGTCATTACTGGAAAACAAGTTGGAGAGCAGAACGATCGTCTCAGATGACGAAAAGTGCTGGCCTGGGAAGGGTAGGAGAGAACAAGTAGGGTGGAAGGAAGGGCTGGGAAGGCGGGCAGAGGGAGCAAAGGGTGGAAGGAAGGGCTGGGAAGGCGGGCAGAGGGAGCAAAGGAGTGAGTACAGCTGCTTGTTGAAATGTTGGTGTGATACATTAGGACTAACCACCTAGCAGTGACCCTCTCCATGTGTAGAATGGGAAATAGAATCAGATATTCAGAGAAGGCAAGCAACTTACACAAGGTCACATAGCACTTCAAGCCCTCCCTGCCATTCACTCAGCCCCACTCACACCCCTTGCAACCAGGGGTTCCAACATGGTGCCTAGGAAAACAGGTCTGGGGCACAGTGCCAGGCCTGATTTGTGTCTTCCTCACCATCTTCTACCAAGGGGCTGTGATTAGGCCTATTTATAGGGGCCCATTGCCTTAATATTCTGCCTGGTGCATCTCTTGCCAATCAAATCCGTGCTGTCTGCAGTGTGATTGCTGCTTTAGTGACACCAGGGAGTGGAGTTAATTAAACCCAGTATAAATAGACTCTGCCCTGTCTTACAATTCGAAGGAGTGTTTTTCCTTCCTGTTTCCCACCCCCACATGCCCCTTCTTCTTCCTGGCCCCCCTTAGCTCTAGCCTGGGTGAGCAGAGCCTGGACACCTATACCTAGAGCAGTGATGGCGAACCTTTTGAGCTCGGCGTGTCAGCACTTTGAAAAACCCTAACTTAACTCTGGTGCCGTGTCACATATAGAAATTTTTTGATATTTGCAACCATAGTAAAACAAAGACTTATATTTTTGATATTTATATTATATATTTAAATGCCATTTAACAAAGAAAAATCAACCAAAAAAATGAGTTCGCATGTCACCTCTGACACGCATGTCATAGGTTCGCCATCACTGACCTAGAGTCATGAGCCATTGCCTGTCCTATCTCAGGAACAGACCCTCAGTCCCTCAGAGGCTAAAGTGAGAGGAACCCAGGAGTCCACCTTCTCTGTGGTTTTCCAGACCTGGGTACCATTTGGTAGTTAACTGTGGCAATCCCCCCTCCTCCCACCCAAATCCATCCTCCTGCTTCCAGGCTTTTTTCACTCTGCAACAAGGGTTTCTTTCTTGTTTTCCAGGCTGAGGGGGTTGGAATGACATAACGTAAAATGAGGGTGTGTAGCAGGGTCCCTAGCACCTTATGGGGTCAGTCAGTGTTGCACCTTCTCAGAACCCTTTTCATCAGCCTCTGTTGTCCCTACCAATTTCCCTTCATTCACTCAGTAAGCACAGAAGACCAGCTCCTGTGGGGTTCCTGGCTTCCCACCAAATGCTGTTCCCAACTCCCCGCCTGTACAGGCTGAACTTGTGGGGTGGGCTGTGCTGTCTTCTCTCTGTACCTTGCCCTGTGGTAGGTGGGGGTGGGTGAGTGTGTGGCGGCCCTGATGCTCTGGTTCCCACCCACAGGCATCATGACTCCCATGAGGACCCAGCACTCGTTGGCAGGGCAGACCTACACAGTGCCCCTCATCCAGCCAGACCTGCGGCGGGAAGAGGCCATCCAGCAGGTAGCAGATGCCCTGCAGTACTTACAGAAGATCTCCGGAGACATCTTTAGCAGGTGGGTGCTGCCACCCATCCTCACCTGATCAGGGGCTTCTCCCTACCCTGTGCAGTCATTCTCAAGGCACCCTCTAGAAGCAGCCCTTCTGGTGATTCTTGGCCCTGGGGGCACCCACCTGGCTTCCCTGTGCCCAAGGGGCCCAGCTTAGAAGCTTGTTCTCCTAAGTGCTCATAAGAGCTATCTAATGTTCCACTTAGCCCCCTGGGTTCCCTGTGGCCCCACAGGCCCTGGTGGTGACACTGCTCTCCTAACTCATCCTCTTCCCCCACTGGGGGCCCTATTCCTTCACTTATTCCTGCAGTTAGCAAATACATATTCAATACTTCTTGTGTGCAAGGCACTGCTACTCTCCTTAGTCACAGTGGTGAATAAGGCAGCGTCCCTGGCCAACTAGAGGATATGCTCTGGCAGGAAAGATAGACTGTAATTAATCAATTATGTGTTTGTTTTTTTTAAATTTTTTTTTTCTATATATTTTATTGATTTTTTACAGAGAGGAAGGGAGAGAGATAGAGAGTTAGAAACATCGATGAGAGAGAAACATCGATCAGCTGCCTCCTGCACATCTCCTACTGGGGATGTGCCCGAAACCCAGGTACATGCCCTTGACCGGAATCGAACCCGGGACCTTTCAGTCCGCAGGCCGACGCTCTATCCACTGAGCCAAACCGGTTTCGGCAGTTTTTAAATTACAATTGTAATAATACCTATTTTTATTTTTTTACTAGAGGCCCGGTGCATGAAATTTGTGCACGGGGTGGGGGGTGTCCCTCAGCCTAGCCTGTGCCCTCTCGCAATCCAGGACCCCTCTGGTAGGGTCCCTCTGCGGGTGACAGGTGTGGGGTGCAATCGCTTGGCTGACCTGGGCTTCCCTCTGCAGGGTGATTGCTGGCTAGTTCCTCACACCCACCACAGCGTTGCTGGCTGGTGGCCTGGGCCTCCCTCTGTGAGGCAATCGATCGCGGGGCCCCCAGATTGATCACCCCACAGAGGGAGGCCCCACCCACGCCCCCGCAGCACCGCCAGCCAGGTGGCCTGGGCCTCCCTCTGCAGGGTGATCGATCGTGGAACCCCCCCCCCCCCCATCGATTGCCCCACAGAGGGTGGCCTGGACCTCTCTCTGCAGGGCAATTGTGGGGCGATGGTGGTGTCCCTCACCAATCGCATTGCATTACCTTGGCTGACCTGGCGCCAGTGTGTGTCATAGCGTGGTCGTCCGGACGTTATTCTACTGTTTGATTGTTTGATCGATTTGCATATTATGCTTTTTTTTATTATAGATAATTCTTTATTGTTGAAAGTATTACATATATCCCCTTTCCCCCCCCCCATTGATTCCCTCCAGCCCACACCCCCCTCCACCCCAGGCCTTCAGCACCCTATTGTCTGTATCCATGAATTATGCGTATATGCATATAAGGTCTTTGGTTGATTACCTCTCCCCCTTCCCCCCCCAACTTCCTTCTGAAATTCCACACTCTGTTCCATGCTTCCATGTCTCTGGATCCACTCCGTTCATAAGTTTATTTTATTAATTAGATTCCACATATGAGTGAGATCAGGTGATATTTGTCTTTCTCTGACTGACTTATTTCACTTAGCATGGTACTCTCCAGGTCCCTCCATGCTGTCTCAATGGGTAAAGAGATTCTTCTTTTTTACTGCTGCATAGTATTCCATGATATAAATGTACCACAGCTTTTTTATCCACTCATCTACTGATGGGCACTTGGGCTGTTTCCAAGTATTAGCCACTTTAAATTGTGCTTGGTATGAACATAGGGGTGCATACATTCTTTCTGATTGGTGTTTCTGGTTTCTTAGGCTATATTCCTAGAAGTGGAATCACTGGGTCAAATGGCAGTTCCATATTTAATTTTTTGAGGAAACTCCATACTGTTTTCCATGATGGTTGCACCAGTCTGCATTCCCATCACCAGTGTACTAGGGTTCCCTTTCTCCACATCCTAGTCAGCACTTGTCATTTGTTGATTTGTTGATGGTAGCCATTCTGACAGGTGTGAGGTGATACCTCATTGTCATTTTAATTTGCATCTCTTTGATGATCAGTGACATTGAGAATTTTTTCATATGTCTCTTGGTCATCTCTTTGTCCACTTTGGAGAGGTGTCTATTTAGGTCATTTGCCCATTTTTTAATTGGATTGTTTGTCTTCCTTCTGTTAAGTTATAGGAGTTCCTCATATATTTTGTATATTAACCTTTTATCAGATGTATCATTGCCAAATATGTTCTCCCATATAGTGGGCTCTGTTTTCGTTTTGTTGATGGTTTCTTTTGCTGTGCAAAAGCTTTTTATTTTGATGTAGTCTCATTTGTTTATTTTCTCCTTAGTTTCCTTTGCCTTAGGAGATGTAGCTGTAAACATATTGCTACTAGAGATGTCTGAGATTATGCTGCCTATGGTTTCTTCTAAGATTTTTATGGTTTCATATCTTACATTTAAGTCTTTTACCCATTTTGAGTTTATTCTTTTGTATGATATTAAGTTGGTGGTCTAGTTTCTTTTTTTTTTTTGCTTGCATGTATCTGTCCAATTTTCCCAACATCATTTATTGAAAGAGACTCTCTTGACTCCACTGCATGCTCTTGCCTCCTTTGTCAAATATTAATTGAGCATAATGGCTTGGGTCGATTTCTGGGTTCTCTGTTGTTTCATTGACCTACATGCCTGTTCTTGTGCTAGTACCAGGCTGTTTTGATTACAGTGGCTTTGTAGTATAACTTGAAATCTGTTATTGTGATTACTCCACCTTTGTTTTTCTTTCTCAAAATTGCTGCAGCTATTCGGGGTCATTTTTTATGCCATATAAATTTTTGGAGAGTTTGTTCTAGCTCTTTGAAATATGCCGTTGGTATTTTAATAGGGATTTTATTGAATCTGTAGATTGCCTTGGGTACTATGGACATTTTAATGATGTGGATTCTACCAACCCATGAACACGGTATATGCTTCCACTTGTTTATATCTTCCTCTATCTTTTATTTTCAACATCCTGTAGTTTTCCGAGTACAGGTCTTTTGCCTCCTTGGTTAGGTTTATTCCTAAGTATCTTAATTTTTTGTTGCAGTGGTAAGTGGGATTATTTGTTTAGTTTCTCTTTCTGAGCATTCATTACTGGTGTATAAAAAAGCCATTGATTTTTGGGTATTGATTTTGTAACCTGCTACATTGCCAAATTCATTTATTAAATCTAGTAGTTTTTGGTAGAGTCTTTAGGGTTTTCTATATACAATATCATGTCATCTGTGAATAATGAGAGTTTTACTTCCTTATTTCCAATTTGGATGCTTCTTATTTCTTCTTCTTGTCTGATCGCTGTGGCTAGAACTTCCAGTACTATGTTTAAATATGAGTGGTGAAAGCGGACATCCCTGTCTTGTTCCTGTTCTTAGGGGAAATGCTTTTAGTTTTTGCCCATTAAGTATACTGTTGTCTGTAGGTTTGTCATATATGGCCTTTAGCATGTTGAGATATGTTCCCTCTATTCCCACTTTGCTGAAAGTTTTTATCAAAAATGGGTGTTGGATTTTGTCGAATGCAATAAGATCTATTTTTAAATAATTTTGTAATATTTATATAGCATTAACCATGTACCATCATTGATCCAAAGTGCATTAATTCATTTAACCATCACAAGAACTTTATGAGGAGCTACTGTTGTTACCTCCATTTTATAGATGAGGAAACTGAGGCACAGAATGACTAAGAGACTTGCCCAAGTGGCAGAGCCAGGGGTCACACCCAGGTATTGTGGCTCCAGACACTGGAGTTCTTACTGTCTTTCTGTGTTGGGAAGGAGGTTACCTTGAGAGTTATTAACGGGAGGCCTGACTTGGCTTGGGGGAATCAGAGGAGGCATATGAAGGGAAGAAGATGCATGGTAAAATCTGAAGGGTGAGTGGGAGTTATTGTGAATGGGTAGGTTGGGAAGAAGAATGTTCCAGAAAGAAAGAAGTACATGAGCTAAAGCCCTGAGGTGGGAAGGACTTGAATGGAAGCCAGTGTGGCTGGGGCAAGGGGGTGGGGGGTCGCCTCATGAAGCTGGTGAAGAGGCAGAGCCTTAGAGGTGTTCGGCGATTTTGAGTTGGTGAGTGGCAGCTTTTTGTTAATTCCAGTGCTAATCTAGCACAATCCTTTTAAGCTATTACGATTTTTCACTCAATGTCTATTTAACATGAGTCACTGGTGTTTGCTATTTCCTTGCAAAGGTCCCAGGTTTTGTCCTGTCTTTCTCTGGCCATAAGCAACCTGAGATGGGCTTAGTTAGATCTTCCTGGGTGCCCACATTATGCCTCACGTAGGAACCCTTTATTGCACCCAGTGTAAAGTATTTGACTGCCTGATTCAGGTTGATTTCATGGTCCAGGTCATCCCTCACCCTGCTTGCACTCCAGTCCAGGAATCCCCTTCTGCATCACCAGGTGACCTCTTCCTCCTCCATCAGTTGTGAGTCCACCTCTTCCTAAAGTCCTCCCCATTGGAACAGAGAATGGAGTCATTGTCTTCAGTTGGATTTGGTATAAACACCAGATCCACTGGACTCTTCTGCATGCTGCCTTCCCACCGATGTGCCCGCCTGCCCGAGCCTGTCCAGAATATAAATGTAACCAGGGGACGATGCCCAAGTGGTTCAGGAGGTTGACTCTGGAGCAGGCTGCCTGGGCTCCAGCTGGCTTCCCCATTTGCTTGCTCTGTAACTTTGGGAGAGTTATTTAACTTCCCTAAGCCTCGGTGTTCTCATCTATAATGTGATGATAATAATGGTATCTTACAAATAGGATTATTGTAAAGATTAAGTTAATTAAAACTTGCAAAGAAATTACAGGGCTTGGAATATAGTAAGTATGCAATCAGTGCTCACTCTCAATATCATCTCTGCTCATTTGCCGCCGATGGTGGTCCTCTATTAAGCTGCTATCAATAGTTATAGAAAGTGTTTGGTGCCCCTTTTGAGCTTATTTTTGTGTTAAATA